AAAAAAAAAAAAAAAAAAAAAAAAAAAAAAAAAAGATTTTTCTCAACACAAATAAAAATAAAAATAAAAATCAGCCACTAAAAGAAACTTACAAATAAAGAAGGTTACAAACTTATTAGTTACATTTACATTTTTAGAAAAAGAAATGTCTAAAATTCACATAGAGAGAGAGAGAGAGAGAGAGAAATGGTAGTTGTGCTTGTATGTTTCTCCCTAGTTTGCTCCACCATTGATCTCTCAACCATTAAATTAAAAGGCCAAACTTAAAACAACACTTTGCCACTCAAACCCTTAATTATTTCTTTATTAGACATGCACCCCACAATCTATTGATCCAAATTACACCAAAAAAAAGGGAAAAGAAAGAAAGAAAGGGAACAACAAAAAAAAACCTCTCTATTCTCTTCCCTTTTCCTTTCATCACAAAGCCAAGCTTCCCCCAATTCAAAGAAGAAAAAGAAGAGAGAGAAATCCCATCTCTTGTTTGCTTCAAAATTTTGGTGTTTTTTTTGGTAGCAAACAAAAGATTGGATTCAAAATGGTTAGAGCTGTCATCCACCAACCAAATTTGCAACATTCAAGATCATTCCATTTGAAGAGAGTTGTGGAGATTCCTGGAAGACAAACACATAGCTTGATTTTGGAGAGTGGAGAAGAGAGTGATGCGTCTAGGCATTCTCTCCAACCCGAACAAATCGGATGGGCGTTGAGCAATAATAACAAGGATCCCGTTTCGTGCTTCGATACACGTGGTATCAAAGCAAGAGGCCCTCGGTGTCAGCCTAAGTCAGGTAAATTCTTCACATTCTTCTTCTTCTTCTTTGTAAGAAAAGTTGTTTTTTTTTTTTAAATTAATTCTTGTAAAATATTTGATTTTGTTTTTGTCTTTTTTTTGGGTTCAGAATTGGAATTAATGATGGCAAAGTTTGCTAAATTGCTATTGGGGGAGGATATGTCGGGAGGAGGAAAGGGTGTTTCTTCTGCTCTTGCATTATCCAATGCCATAACAAATCTAGCAGGTTTTTTATTATTATTTTTTTAATTTTATAAATCCTTGACCTTATTGTGTTCACACTGATTTAAGGAAAAAACCCGATACAGCATCTACTTTTGGGGAGCAAAAGCTCGAGACACTATCTCCGGAGAAGAAAGCAAGATGGAGAAGAGAAATAGAATGGTTTTTATCAGTAACCGACCACATTGTTGAATTTGTCCCTTCAAAACAGAAGTCAAAGGCTGGAATAGACATGGAGGTCCACCTTCTCTTCTAACTAAGCCTTTTAACTCTTGTATATGTCTTAACTAGTTAAGTTTCGATTATACTTGTTCGGTTTTTATTCTAAAGGCTGGTTTGTATTTTGTTGTAGATCATGGTGACCGTACAAAGGAAAGATTTGCTCATGAGCATTCCAGCACTTACAAAACTAGATGTTATGTTAATTGTAAGTATCTTATTAGCTTTTAGTTCCTATCATCTTAGAGATCCATATTTTTTTCGAGGACCATACAGTTTTAAAAAATGTTTTATAAGTTTTTAAACTTTCAATTTTGTGTCTAATAAGTTATTTGATGTTTTAAAATTTTATGAACCTAATAGACACAATTTTATAGCTCTATAGACGAGTAATGAACGTATCCAAACATAAAATTAAGACATTTACCTACAAAATTAAGATTATCTTGAGTTCTAACTTAGAATATGATTAACAGGGTTTCCTAGATCAATTTGGTAAACAACAAGAATTTTGGTATGTATCAAGAGATGATGAATCTGCTAACGATAACACACAACAGAGAAATGGAGACAAATGGTGGCTACCAGCCGTTAAAGTACCTCCCAATGGGCTATCAGAAGCTAATAGAAAATGGCTGCTATTTGTAAAGGAATCTGTGAACCAAATCTTAAAAGCAGCCATGGCCATAAATGCTCAAGTTTTAACAGAAATGGAAGTACCTGAAAGCTACATTGAGTCTCTCCCCAAGGTAAGCAAAAACTCCCTGAAAATATCATTTTAATCCCTATACTTGTATATCTTTCTCGATCGCAATTTCACAGTCGGGTTTATTAGAAATCTTACAAATAGAATTGTCTTTCTTCCGAGTTCCTGGCTAATTTCGACTCTGTTTCTGTAGAATGGAAAAACAAGCTTGGGAGAAGCAATCTACAGGAGCATAACAGAAGATTATTTTAATCCTGATGAATTCCTGAAATCAATGGATTTGTCTACAGAGCACAAAGTTATTGATCTTAAAAACAGAATTGAGGCCTCAATTGTGATATGGAAGAGGAAAATGCACCACAAAGATGGAAAGTCCTCATGGGGTTCAGCAGTAAGCTTTGAGAAAAGAGAGATTTTTGAAGAGAGAGTTGAAAGCATATTGTTCTTAATCAAACAATATTTTCCTGGGATTTCTCAATCTTCTCTTGATATGTCCAAAATCCAACATAACAGGGTAAGAGCCAACTTGTTCTCGATAGTTTTGTTTGATAATGATTTTGTTCTTAGTTTTCGGTTTTGAAGATTATGTTCGTTTTCTCACAAATCCAAATGGTCATCCAACACTATTGATCCATTACCAATCCATTAATCTTCATATTTTTTGATTGTTGACAGGATGTAGGACAAGCAATCCTAGAAAGCTATTCAAGGGTAATAGAAAGCCTGGCTTTTAATATGATGTCTAGGATTGAGGATGTACTTTATGCAGATACCATTGCTCGAGAATTGTCGATCAAGCAGTCCTTGAAGAATCTGCCTGTGGATGAAGAAGACAAATCGAGATCTAATGACTCTGAAGCTTCAAAGACACTCTCAGATTTCATGGGTTGGGATGTTGACAAAGACAATCCTAATTTCGGATCATTGGCCAATGAAGAGAGTTGTTGGAAACAACAAGAAGACATTGATTTTATGAGTAAACCTGCTAAAATTGCAACACAAAAAAGATTTTCCTACTTAGAGAAGCTCGAGAGTCTAAGTGCTTTAAGAAGTCCAACTGCTCGTCACTAATCAAATGGTAGTATCCTCCACAGAGGGAAAGTTATTCAATGTGATCGCCACGTCGTGGCTGCTACTCATTACACCGTTGGATGTATGACTAACTAGTGCTGTTAGTTTCTCTCCTACATTCAACGGTATAAAACAGTCAGCCACAGGTTTAGGGAGATTGGCAAAAAAAAAAAAAAAAAAAAAAAAAAAAAAAAAAAAAAAAAAAAAAATTGAAAANAGAAGATGATAAAGTATACAGAGAAAGATAGTTTGAGGTTTTGAATTTGCAACAGTGTTAAATATTCAAACCCATATAGGATTCTATTAACCTATTCTTTTGTAGGCCTTCCTTCCTTCCTGCAAAGGAAAGAGAAGTTTATTTTTTCTAACCTTGGGGTTTGAAACATTTACAGTGTACTTTTTTTTTTTTTTTTTTTTTTTTTTTTTTTTTTTTTTTTTNATCTTCATTTCTTTCATCTTCTTATATAAGGCTCTTTTCCTAGGATTTGCATATATCTTGACCGTAATTTGTACACCAACATTGAAAATGAAAATAATCGTAAGGTCGTGTACAGATTCGGTATCAAACACTTGGGTTTGTTTAGTATTTCATGAAAACGAAAAGCTTTCGAACTTCATGAACTCTTGATAAAAACCCTTAGATTTCATCCAAAAAAAAAAAAGAAGCTCTAAGCCTACATATGTGTAACCGACATTCTGCTCCAAGTCCTTAAGTGTTGTTACACAGTTGGATTCCTAAATCTTCAATAGAACTTGTCTAAGAAAATAAATGTTTCGGAGCAAAATGGTTATCATAAAGCGCATTTATCATTATGAGCTGAAATCTAACTTTTAACCCTCATTCAACATCTAGGAAAAGAGAAATTCTGAGACAATGATTGAGGATTTATATTCTTGTAGGGAGCTAAAAGTAAAAAGAAACTCAAAAATTGTCAACAAACAGAAAACTATAGAGAACAACTACCTGCAAACCGAAACTGTCATAAAGGCATTGAAATACCTGCAGGAAAGACAAAACAACATCAAAGATGGTTCTCTTACAATAAATTATCGCGCATGAAACTACTTCAAATGATGAGTATAAACTTGCATACACAACTTTCTCCAATAGAACTAATGCAGAAGACAGGTAACAACTTATTCCGATCAAAGGACAAAGATAATTTTAGGATGAGGAGTTTCCAAGACACTTGTAACACCTGTAAAGGGGCGTTTAGGGCATGGATTTGGCTTCCTAAGCCTAACCAATGTTTAGGATGAGGAGTTCCAAAACATAATTTTATTGGAGAAATCAATGAGTTTGAGTGATAACATACTCTGAGACAGTTTTCCTAAACCTATGCTTTCTACAGCTGCATCCCAACGCCATTTTCCTTAACCAGGCTTCCCAAACCTTTAATTTAAACCCCTAGACTTACTAAACCCAAGCTTAAAGATGCTCAACTCATGCCTTAAACGCCCCTAAATGATTTTCTTACCCTCTACATTCACACTCTCATCAAATTTATCGAGCACAAAAGTTTCAATCAGTGTTTATTTCCGGGAAAAGGTTGTATTTTCAAAAGAACAGTATTACGAATACTGTAATGAATATATAAGAGAGGAGACAGAGTACAAGACATCTAACCAAAGTTTAAGAGACAAGAAGATACCAAAAATTTGACTATCTCAATTTCCGTGAAACATCCTATTATTTTGATTTTCCAAGCCTTACAAAGATAAGCAATCTAGAATCAATTTAATCTGGTTTCTGAAATTTGAACGTAGTAACATCTGAAGTACAGAACCCTCAGCTTTCGGAAATTCCACTCAAGTCCATACAAACCAAATAAAAATCCCAAAAACTTACCAGTGAACCAGAAGAGAACGAACAAGGGGTCATTATCATCTTACCCACCCAAGACAAGCATACATTATGAGGGTTCAGGCACGCGCAAGAGGGGCAAGGAACAATGATGCTACCAACTTCTAGCCATTGGAAGTTAGTATTGATTACATTTTACAATGAACAAAACATATCAAGTAGATTACTTTCTTCAGGTAGTATTTTTTCACTGTGAGATAGAATAAAAATGATGCAATGACACTACAATTGAGATATGCATCACAAAAGCTGTTGATGGTTGCACATAAATGGAAGATCAGAAAAATTATCCACCATCAACTAGTTGAAAACTACATCACTTGGGTATCTTTTGAAGCTTGGTGATAAATTAGAAGAGCCAACACATAAACTGATAAACATAAGCTACCACATGAAGTTGTTGAAAAAGACTATGGCTCCATCTCATATATGGTCAGTTGAACAACTTTGGTTGAAAGGTCCCACATCGGTTGGAGAGTAGAACGAAGCATTCCTTATAAGGGTGTGGAAACCTCTCCCTAGTAGACGCGTTTTAAAACCATGAGACTGACGGCGAAACGGAACGGGCCAAAACGGACAATATCTACTAGCGGTAGGCTTGAGCTGTTACAAATGGTATCAGAGCCAGACAGCAGTCGGTATGCCAACGAGAACGTTGGGCCCTAAAGGGGTGGATTGAAAGGTCCCACATCGGTTGGAGAGGGGAACGAAACATTCCTTATAAGGGTGTGGAAACCTCTCCCTAGTAGAGGTGTTTTAAAACTGTGAGGTTGATGACGATACATAATAGGCCAAAGCGGACAATATCTACTAGGGGCGAGTTTGGGCTGTTACCAATGGTATCAGAGCCAGACACTAGGTGGTATGTTAGCAAGGATGTTGGGCCCCAATAGGGTGGATTGAAAGATCCCACATCGGTTGGAGAGGAGAACGAAACATCCCTTATAAGGGGTGTGGAAATCTCTCCTTAGTAGACGCATTTTAAAACCGTGAGGCTGACGACGATACGTAACGGGCCAAAGCGAACAATATCTACTAGTGGTGGTTTGGGCTATTACAAAAGACTAGATTAATGCTAAAATTCTGCAAAAGACTATGGCTCCATCTCTTATATGATCAGTTATGTTAAACTTTGGTTCAAATACTAAAGTTGGTTGCATCATTCGGGTTGTTTCCTTCATAAACCAGTTAAGGTGATGTTTTCCTTCAAGTAGCAAAGGCAGATTTCTTCAGCCGTACTGGCATTCCACAAACTTGACCCGAATTATGATCAGATCCTAAAAGTTATAAAACCTCCTACATTATAGAGAAACACCAGCATTCGCTAAAACCAAGTGCTAGAAGAAACTTAAGCAAAACGTACCCTGAGGAACTAAGCCCCATCCTCGAGATTCAATGGTCAGACTCGAGATCAATCTTGCTGAAGCTATGGCACTGTGCAGTGGCATAAGTGACCCCTGGCTGCTCAACTCCAATGGTAACCTATTGCAAAAATCTATTCCACAGTAAGAAATTGAACAGAATTTCGTTCAGTGACTAATGATTCTGTGACGGTATGACGAATGAGATTGGAAATGAATAAAAGAGAGGAATCTCACCGCGAAGTGCAAGAAAGACGCGATGTAGAAGGTGCGGAGAGACGAGATTGACAAGTCGATTTAAACGGAGATGGATCAGAAGATGAAGATCTTTTGTTGAGCTTTGAAGCAAGAGAGTGCAAGCGAGATGATATCCGAGAAACGGCCCTCAAGGACGCCATTGAAGACCTCCTTAAGCTTGAACTGTAATGGAAATGGATTTCTAAGAATTAGAAGGGTTTTACTTTGTCAAACATCGGAGTTCCAAACGTCGTCGTTTCAATGAAATAAAATATTTGCAACACTTTATTACGTCGAAGTTCAATTTTATGGAGTAGAAAGTTTTTACTAATAAATTTATTTTCCTCTAATTATTAATAATTAACTTAAAATAATAATTAATAAATCTTATTAACCATGTGTTAGGATCGCATAACCACACAGATCTACGTGAACACAAAGAACAAAATGCAAGAGAATATTGGTAAAGAATTTGTATCGATGACTTCACGTGTACAAGAAGAGTGAATACAGAAAATAAATAAAGTACATTTTGAAAGGTATGCGTGTATATATATATATAGTTTAGCTTACTATATATAGTTGTACCAGAAATAACTATCTTCTATATATAATTATCTATCCTAGCTTTTTACTATACATAATTATTTATTATTTATAACAATTTACTTTATATGTCATTTACTAAATATAACAATTGACTAAGGTATAAATAAGCAGGCTTTTTAACCTAACACTACTAAATATCTAGCTTGTTACTGCTGCTGGTTAAGTCACTAACTTAACAATGATTGTGGCAGGAGGACAATGCAAAAGGTCTTGTTCATGTCTTTTTTGCCCAGCGTGCAATATCGAAGGTACATCATTGATGCAAGAAACTACTCAAGACCCTCTCCCTCCTAACCCTACCAAAATGGGAAACCACTATTTATTTCCCATGATGTATTCCACCTACCTACACTTTAGCATGTCTTTCTCCGTTGACGCTATCCAGAAACGTGGCGTTCAATATCATCAAGGAGAAGACAACGTCAGATCTGTTGAAGGCGCTGTTGAATATGTACGAAAAACCGTCGGCTATGAACAAGGTGTATTTGATGCGGAGATTGTTCAATCTACAAATGTTTGAAGGTGGATCTGTTGTTGATCATATAAATGAATTCAATATAATCGTAAGTCACCTGAGTTCGGTGGAAATTAATTTCGAGGATGAAATTAAAGTATTGATTTTGATGTCATCTTTACCCGAGTCGTGGGATACTGTTGTTGCCGCAATCAGCAGTTCGCGAGGATCTGATAAACTGAAGTTTAATGAAATTCGAGATGTAGTTCTCAGTGAAAGTATTCGCAAACGAGAAATTAGAAATTCATCTGGTAGTGCTCTCCGTGTTGACCAACGGGGAAGAAGTAAACCGAAGGGCCCAAACAAAGGGCGATCAAAATCAAAGAACCGAGAAAAATCTCCAAATAGACCAAACGTAACGTGTTGGAATTGTGGAGAAAATGTCACTTTCGGACAGGTTGTATAAGACCAAAGAGGAAGCAGAATCACAAATCTGGAGATGATGATGATTTTATAAATTCAGCAGAAGACATTGGGGATGCTCTAATCCTCAGCGTGGACAGTTCGATTGAATCCTGGATTTTGGATTTAGGTGCATTTTTTCATTTGTCTCCGAATAAAGAGTTGTTCCGGAATTTCAAGTCTGGAAATTTTGAGAAGGTGTATCTTGCCGACAACAAATATTTGGAGATTAAAGGAAAAGGAGATGTTTGCATAAAATCTCCGGCAGGAAATCAATGGACATTAAAGGATGTCAGATATATTCTTATGCATTTCCATCTTGCAGGTAAAAACAACGGTCGGGGTTTCTATATCTATGAGAAAGGAAGCAAACCAAACCCCGATCCTTCAATTTTACCAATTCTGGAGGAGTCTATGCGCATTGCCAACCTTATTCCCAGTGGAAAGGTACTTAAAAACGTGATAACCGAAGCCATTTGTCTAAACGTGAACACGCAATATGCATAAATCACTACTATTTTTTGGTTGCTGTTTGTTTATTAAATTTTTTTGCTTGCTTCCGGCAGCCTATATCCATTTCTGATCAGCAAATTTTGGAAATGGTACTCTTTCCTGTGGTAAATGAGGGATGTCGAGTGGTAGACGAACGAATTGTCGTTAGACCGTTAGACCGTCTGACCTTGATGTTGCAACTGTCAGACCTTGATTTTTAAAATTTAGATTTCCGTCCTTATGATTTAATAAAAGTTCATAAATAGTTCCTATGGTTTGGAATATTTATTATTTACGAGGGTTTTATCGAATCATAGAGGCTAATTCTAACATTTAAAATCATATGGACTAAATTTCAAGTTCCTTAAAGTCGTAGGTTCCAAATTTGTAATTTAACCATCATTGAATTTTCTACTTTGAGGTTTGATCATAGTCGGATATTTTCAAACCTCTCGAGCCATTACTCATTGGCTCGTTTATTGTTTTAGTTTGACAACACGTGGATTTGAATCTATGACCTCGAAACAAAAGTTTAACCCGATTAAGTATGCTCTTCTCATTTGCAGCGGTGATATCCTCTTTTGGGCAGATCTGGTTGAGCCAAAACATGTATATACAAGTCTCAAGAAATGGTCAGACCAATATGGTGATTTCTTCAAGCCCTGCAAGTATTTAGAAGAGTTGGAATGGGCAGATCTGGTTTTGCTTGCATTGTTATGTTTTTTTTTTCTTTTTTACTTACTCATATATCATATATGTTAACAGTTCAATCATGGGAGGTAGGGTTAACTTAAGAGTTGGAATGGTATTTAATATCTATCTCTTAAATGAGAAATAATTCGATGAGTTCATACACCTGATAATTATCAATTATTGGATAGTAATTTAAAAAAAAAATACATATTCTCTAATAATGACATAATTCAAATTTGAAGTACTTTTCGAGATTGAGATTTCCCACGTAAACAATAATCAAACAACCTTAAAAATTTTAAAATAAAAAAAATAAAAAAATCTAGTACCAATATTTATTGGATATAATTTTAAATTTTTTTCAAGCAGTCAAAGTTCAAGGTCCTCTACTCCTAAAAAGAACTTTAATTTTTTTTAAAATAATAAGAATAATAATAATAAGGCAATGAAAGCAAATAATTCAAAGTTTAATATGAGACAACTCAAAATAAAGAGAAAAAAGGGTGCAAAATTCAACAGTAAATTTGTAGCCTTGAGATGATAATGCATGAACATTGAAAAAATTCTCAAGCAAATCAAAATCCTAAAGGGAAATTAGGCAATAGATTTTGGGTAGAAGTGATCACATCAGAAATGAGTTATGCAAAGGATTTCCATTTCTCATTTGATCTAGAAATATGAAAACAACAATCCCTATCTTCCACCTCTCCTAAACAGGAGGAAAAATAACTAAAATTACAAAGCTAAGATGGGAAACTCAATATCAAATCTAAATGAAAATTAACTTACATTAATCATGTAGGAACCCGTGGGACATTTTTGTCCAAATATAGCTTCCAACTCTGATGGGTCAGCGCATGAGGGTCGGGACGGTAAATATCACCTTGATGGATAACATAAGGCTACATTTCTGTTTGCCAACTCTGATGGCTCAGTTTTGGTTTGATATTACCAGTTTCTTCACGACAGAGGCAAAACTTTCTGTCGCTGATCGTTACTAAGGGTCATGACTGTAGCGGTTACCGTCTGCGTGGTCTTCCCCGATGGTGGGATCGAAGATTTTGTAACTTTATTGTTGAGTTGTTCCAAATGAGTTTGTGTTTCGGTTCTAGAATTTGTAGTGCCATGGTTGAGTGAGTGTTCTTGGTTACCTACTTCACTTCTGGCTAAAGTGGAACACTGTGTCTCTGTAATGCACAAGGAAATAGAACCATAAGTTTTAAGGAAATATTTGCATTCTATATTATGATATGAAAACAGAGCAACTGTTCTTATTTTATTTCCATAGACAGAAAGATCAGAGTTAGAAACAGAATTGATGCTAGTAAGTATCTGACAATGCACGTACTCGAAATGGCAAGTTCATCCTTCATAGAAGGAGGATGTTGTAAAATGTAGCGTATGACCCGGAAAACGTGTAGGATAAAGAGTATTTTATGCTTTATGATTTTGGAATCAAATGCATTTTAAAACCCATAGACAACCATCTGTCCAAAGAATCTAAGACTTTTCTCAACGATGTCGACGATTTAAGCTACTGAGACAATCCCGAAAATAGACAGAAAGCAGACATAAAAACTTGCCTTTTATTTCTCCTAAAGTGATGAGTCTATTGAGACAATCCCGAAACTTCGTAAGGACGATCCTCTCCTGCTCGGCATAGACCTCTGACATGTCTTGTCTGTGGGGCAGTTGTGAAGAAGTGCTGCAGCCAGGACCCATTAATCTGTTGGGGGAAGCAGCAGCCATTAGTATTGTATCTTGCTCGTCGCACATCAAAGCCAATGTTCCGGGAGACATGGTTGCGCCCTTTGACACATCTCCACCATCTGAATTGGAATCATCAGTGGTGGTTTTGTTGGTCTGGTTTGCGCTTGAACGATCATCGGCTGCAGCTTTCTCGTTGGATACATCTTTTTTCTGCAACCTATCTTGATTGGATGATGCAACAGAAGTTTCTATCTGACAATCAGCTTGCTTTTCTGTAGCATTTGTTTGATCTGGATTGTGAAAAAGAAGATTTTAAGAGATCCATTCAACAACTTCGGCCGAACTTCTTACAAGTTCGAATCAAAAAAATCACAATACCTTGAAATGTTTTGGCAGCTTCACTTGATAGCACAACCAAAACAGAGCAAAGATCCTTCAAATTTTGTGATTGAATGATGTCTGCCATTAAAGACCTTCAAAAATTACACACATCAGTCCTAAAAACAAGCATATGGTCAACATTACATTGAATCAAAGCGATTATACCTATAGGTAAACTTTGAGGGACCCAACAATGACGGGCTTCCAACACCAGCAATGGGGAAGGATGGTAACGGAGGAGCAGTGGCTTTGGCATGATTTGCCTGCCATGTACAGTTTACAATCTCTGATCAGTACAAGAGCAATCCTATTAACACAAAGCTTACCGAGAACCGCATTATCAATATGTTTTTTTTTTTGGACTTGGATTGTGAGATCCCACATCGGTTGTGAAGGAGAACGAAACATTTTTTATAAGAGTGTGGAAACCTCTCCCTAGCGTACGCATGTTAAAAACCTTGAGGGGAAGCTCAAAAACCTCTCCCTAGCAAACACGTTTTAAAAACCTTGAGGGGAAGTCTAAAAATGAAAACCCAAAGAGGACAATATCTGCTAGTAGTGGGCTTGAGCCGTTACAAATGGTATCAAAGCCAGACACAGAGTGATGTGTCAGCGAGCCCTAAGGGGGTAGACACAAGGCGGTGTGCCAGCAAAGACACCGGACCCCGAAGGAGAAGGGGGGTGGATTAGGAAGTCCCACATCGATTGGAAAAGGGAACAAGTGCCAATGAGGACGTTGGCCCCAAAGGGGGTGGATTGTGAGATCCCACATCGGTTGGGAAGGAGAACGAAGCATTCTTTATATGGGTATGGAAACCTCTCTCTAATATACGCGTTTCAAAAACTTTGAGGGGAAGCCTGAAAGGAAAAGCCTAGAGAGAACAATATCTGCTAGCGGTGGACTTGGGCAATGTTTTTTTTTTGGGACTTGGATACTAACAAATTTCTGCAAAAAATTAAATGGTGAGACATTGTCTTATATTATACTAAATTATTGGGTTCACCTGTTGAAATGCTACTGGTCTATGAGTTGATAGGTCCTTGGCCGTCGATCCAAAGTAGAGTTCTTGACCTTTCCTTTTTTTGGATACAGGAGGTGAAGCATAACCAGAGGAGCCAATAGCTCCAGTTATGGCAGCATTAGCTGCCTGCTGAATGAATACCATATTGTTACCATGGTCTCCATGGAAAAGAGCTTGTCTCTCTTCACTTCCCTCAAAATTCTTGCAGTCCATGCATTTACAATTTTCCGAGCAGAGAATGTTCGCCTGGAAACACTCGCAATATTTTTTAAGACAACCCGATTTCTTGCAGTGGCATCCCTTGTTGTGCTTACCCAACATCAGCAGCTCCCCCGCCTCCTCCTGCATGAATTCAAAACAGTCCATCACAAATTTCATCGACATGTTCCACGGTAGATATGTACACATATCTGACGACATGCTCGTTGCAGTACAACTTCATCTAATCTACATATATATCTAGAAGCACCAAATTCTTTACAGCTTCAGAAAATTACAAGCTATGATATGAACAAAAGGTAGAGCAATTGTTAATTAAAAAAAAAACTGTCATACTCGGTTGTCCCGCATTCCATGAGGACTGCTAGCAATTTTTGGTCGAAACGCATTTGGATTACGCTCTAATGTAGCTTCGACTGCTTCTCTTCTAGCAGCATCATTTTCAACATTGTTATAACAATTTAAGCAGTTGCAGCCATCACAGTATATTCCAGAAGCAAAGCATTCACAGTACCTGCTCAAGTTGACAGCATTAAATTTCAAATGGTTTATAAACACAATAATTTAATTCCAGTTGTAAACATGCACGTTGAAGATATGATCGAACATGGAGACGAATAGTGATGAATCCTCAAACATAGACACTGTGAATGATAGCTAAATGAGGAAAAAACGACTCGAAGCACCAAAATGAGTTTTGTAACATGCACAAACGCACATGAGCATCTACTTTATCAGTGTCATCACAGAAGTTCTTAGAAAATATTTGTAATAAGCTCAATTCAGTAGTGCGGGCTACAATATGTTTGTAATAAGCTCGAAAGATCAAGAACTTACAATTTTAGACACCGCGAATGTTTACAGTTACACTGTTTTTGCTTCTTAGGAGTACTATCTTTAGCTTCAACAGCAGGTCTTGCTCTTGACATAGGGGATTCTGATTTCCTATTCAAGAAAAAGCATCGTTCATTAATATAAAATGGCTTAACGCAGAAGTTATTTACTGAGCAATTTTTCATAGCAGAATCTATCTAAATCCAAATGATGAACTTGTAAATCTTACAGTGAATCCACAAGCTCAAGCGGCTTCATATGAAATGAATCGAATTAAACAATATCTCATTTGGATGAGTTCTCCAAAATTGGATCGATGGCATAAAGTTTCTAATTCTATACTACGATTGAACATTAAATTAAGCAAGCGAGATTACAGAGACTTACACAGTTCTAACTGACGAATGAGGCGCCAAAGGTGCGTTCGACGCGGCCACCATCTGCGGCTGTGGCTTCGGCTGAGCTTGCTGAAGATTCTGAGATACTAATGGAGTCTGCGACTGTGAATGCGAGTTTGAATGAGATTGAGGATGCGGAGCGCCTCCATAGCCAGTGAAATCGAGCTGCCTAGCGAGCTTCTTAGACGGAATATCCGATGACGAAGAATTACTCAACGCTGCACCATCTGATTGAGCCTTCTTCGGAGGCGCACCAGCGGAATCTTCTTCCCCCATCGAATTCAAATCCTCAATTTCAATAATCTCGCCACAATTCCAAATTTTCCGATAAAAGAAAAACAAACTCGAACAATTAATCAACTCCTAAATTCAAAAACGGATTTCCCTCCGCCAACTTAAAATCGTTCAACTCCCCGATCCAAATACCTATCAAAATACGGCAAATAAAATTCCGAGAACACCAGATAAAATTATGCTTTTGCAGCTCAAATATTACGCCGAAAATCAGCAAAATGAAACCAAGATCAAAAAGACATTTGTCTACGCGTAAAACAGCCACAGAGAAAGCAAAAAACGGAGCAGAAAAATTAAATTATTTAGGGTTTTTTTGAACTGTGAATTGAAGAGAGCTCCGAAGGACAGGAGCGAAAAGGCATTTTGTTCATCTTCTTTCCTCCCTCTTCCGAGATTTTGAAATTTCAATTTTGTAAATATTGAACGGTGAGATTAACACCATTGCCTAAATCTAACGGTGAAAACAATTCGACACGATCCAACGGTGAGAATTCATAGAAGCAAGCCTCGTGGAGATTGTGAACCATCAGATTCTGACGGCTGTGGAGTTTCGACAAAGTTGTCGAGGGCAAGGATCCTGTATTTCTCACATCCATATCAAATAGCCATTAATATCTCACCACGTAATACATCTCAAATTTTTGAACACGTGGAAGTTTTTGATTGGTTAAATAAAATGGAAAACTATGAGGAAAAAAGAGGGAATTAATCCAAGATTCCATCCTCTAAAGAAAGGAAATAAAACAAATTTGGCGCTAAATAGACTATCAGAAATTGTTAGACAGCCTAATAATTTCATTAATTCATTTGTTTACTTCTTTTTTTTTTTTTTTTCATAATTATGTACAAAAGTAATTGCCATTAAATTTTGTATTATTGATTAAAAGTCATAAATTTAAATATTCCGATAAAAAAAATTCTCATTCAGATATTTTTATAATTTTCTTTTAAATAATTAGATTCATAATAAATAAGATTTTGGTTCTATTACATCTCCAAATTGAGTTGGAGATAATATTGTACAAGTTATTCTCACACCAGTTTGGTCGTCTCGTTTGATAGAGCTCTTCTAATCTCGTCTCTAAGTGAGACCCATCTATAAGACTAGACTCCTTTCATAAGAGAAATTATTTTTTTCTACACTTAAAAATGTTTATTTTAGTCTCTAAATTTATCAAAAATATATATTTGTTTTTTTCTCTCTCAATATTGATAAAAAAAGTAATAATAATTCATTGAATTTTAGGAAAATAAATATTTTGGATTTATTATATTACATTTTCCCTCACATTTGCTATTAATTTGTTCAAATCAAAATAAAGGTAAAGATAAAAATTGTGACTTTAAAAATTTAAAGGCTAAAATATAAACTTTAATAGGTTATCAAAATCATACAAATTTGAAAATTAAACATTTTAACAGGTTCAAAATAAATTTTAAATTTTATTTATTTATTTATCTATAGTCATCCCATGGGTTTTATTTAATATAAACTTGATTTAAAAATCTAGTGTATTTATATAATATAAAAACATTTTTAGAAAATTAAAAATATATAATATATCTCGTGCTTGCTTTTTGAGTCTCTTAGGTATGCCGTACAAGAGAAAGATTCTCCGACCATGATTTATATACAGTTTTTTTTAGATCCTTTATATAAAGTTTAACAAACCCACACAAAGTTCAATTTCTTAAGCTAAAGTTTCCTTAAAAAAAATTAAATTACAAGAACATTCAATTTTGTATCTTAAAAACCCACTTTAAAAAATATATAATGTTGTGGTTAATTTTATGTCTATTAAAATCCCAAGTCTACGAATTAAAAAAAAAAAAATGTCAAATGATCGATGATTCAATAGACACAATTGAAATGGATAACCTATTAGATACAAATTAAAAGTTTTAAAGACATTAAACACAAACAAGTTTATTGATTGATATGAGTGTATACTTATAGTTTAATCTAACCTCGTAAATGTCTTAGCTAGCTTGCACGTACTTGTACCCGAACCTAGTTATTAACCCTGGTACATTTAATAGTAAAAAAATAAGGAAGAAATATACATATTAACTGTATTAGCGACCATCCTTCCCCTCAATTTTTAGGCATCCCTCCATAACTCCATTGATATCTTACCCTGTCAGCCTCATAGCAAGAAGAAAGCAAGAATGCAGCAAATACTTGAAAATGTGTTCATTTGGAAGAAAAATCAAAAGCATAAAGCAAGAGAAGGAACCGCATTCATGGTCAGTTTGGCAGACAAAGACAACACTTGAGGTCCTTGAAAGAAAAAAGGAAGGGGAGGGAAACTCACATCTTTTGGTTGTGCAAATATACACAAATTACATTAACAAACGCGACATTCTTCGAGAAGGGCATCGGAATGATCATTCCGACAACTGAGTTCTCCAAGCTTTTGGTGTTTTAAGTATGAAGAGCGATAACGGTATCGTAGTATACTAAATGGTCTGTTTAGGATTCAGACACAACATTCTTCGAGAAGGGTATTGGAACGATCATCCCGACATCTAAATTCTCCAAGCTTTTGATGGTTCTAGTATGATGAGCAATAATGGTATTGTAGGATAAGAAATGGCCTGATCAAGATTCAAAATGTATCAAGGAAGTCTTTCCTTATAAGTAATGAGTAATAACTAAATTGACACAAAGTATAGTTTCAAATATTTAGGAGTACCTCGATCTCGATCCCAACAGTTCAATCATATTGTACGGAGTAACGAGTGGCCCTTGTGGTAATGTTCAAGGGGCCGAGTACGTCCATATCGGAGTCGGACTCATTGTTGTTGTACCATCCTGCAGGGGAATCCAGATCCTGTCCAGTTCTGATTGAAGGAATATGAAGCTCAGACAGGGGAACAGGAAGTGGCTCATCAGTGAAATACTTGTCTTGGAGCAATTCCATGGCTGTCGCCCGATTAGATGGGTCGTAGCAAAGAAGTCTTTTAACGATGGAAATTTCATCAGGAGATCGGTTGGGAAGACATGCTTCGAGGCCAATAGGCTTGTCTATGTTGTTGAATGATATGATCTGAAAATCTGGAAGTTTGGAACAACTTGGCCAAGAATCTTCAGTCAAGTTGCCTAGAGTAGTGAAAATTCTGCTCATTTGATCAATGTCAGCAGTTCCTGGAAAAAGTGGTTCCAATGTAAAAAGTTCTGCAAAAATGCAACCCAACGACCATAAGTCGATCTCCAAACCGTAGTTCGTAGAGCCATAGAGTAATTCGGGGGCCCTGAACCAGCGAGTTCCGACGCAAGAAGTGAGAGAACCCTGTCCATCATCTGCTGGAACTCCCCCTTCCATTTCATAAGAATATGATGAACCTTTAAATGGATCCTCTTCGAGATCACTCGTGGTACACGTTGCTATGCAAGACGTATCTCCATCATAAGTACATGTTTCCTTATCAAACTCAGTTTCTGAATTTTTTGCTTTCAGCTCGTCTAAAGCTCTAAAATACTCCTCTTTGCTAATTGGTTCTTGTTCTTCAGTTCTGTTACCTTCTCGAACCGAACTTTCTGTTCCTGAAAAAATTGCAGGTGGCTGAGAAATTGCAGGTACTTGATCAGAAGAATTCATCTCACTTGGTTGTGAAATCTCATTGGATTCATCAAATTCTGGCTCCATCAATATTCTTGCCTGAAACCAACATCAAACTGATTCATTTAGGAGCTGTCAAACTGATTCATTTAGGAGCTGTGAAACCAACATCAAATTCATGGATCTTCTGCTAGATTTGAGTATCAAGAATCAAAACTGAAGGAGATAAGAAGTGCCAATGTGCAGAAATCACATGTATAATGTCAAGTAAAGTTCATTATCATGGATCTTATGCTAGATTTGAGTATCAAGAATCATAATCCTTCAACATGAACGGATGAACACCACATTCAATCAATATTTCAGGTGACTTTTATGGTGAACAATCTACAAGCATAGAGTTACAAACAGTAGTTCCTCACGAAAACGAGCTAAATGCGCACTACTGTAATTATATGCTGAAAACTCTTTGCTCGCGGAGCTTGGATTAAAAGAGAGAATGAAAGGGAATCACCTGTCCAAAATCGGCAAGTTTGAGCACGCCATCGTCGGCGATCAACAAATTGCTCGGTTTCAAATCCCTATGCACGATCATATTTCTATGACAAGCATCAAGACCACTCAAAATCTGGATCATCCATCGCTTCACCTCATCGACCGCTAGCCTCCACCCGGATTCTCCACCGTCCGATCCTCGCTTCTTCGCCTCCGCTATAACGGTGGCCAAATCCGTCTTCAGAAACTCGAGAACAAGCACGGCATCCTCATCCTCGCGCCAAAAGTACTCATGCAGAACGACAATATTAGGCGAACCTTGAAGGATTTGGAGCGCCTCGATTTCACGGAACGCCGATTGATAATCGTGGATCTCCTTCAAAGCGACGATGACGCCGTCGGAGAGCCGCCGTGCACGGTGAACATCGGAATATGCGCCGGATCCGATACGCTCGAGGATCTGGTACTTCCGGATGATGTCCGGCCGAGTGTGGATGCTCCAGCTCTTGGCCGATGGAGATTCCATTTGGCAACGATGTTAGAGTGCGTGTTCAAGGGTTTTCGAAGATAGGGGTTATGAAAATTCGTTACAGTTCGCAGTTAATTTTCGCCGGAAGGCGAAAAACAAGTCGCCGGACAGTGAACAACAGAAGCCAAATTCAAATGGCGCCGAGAATTAATATATTCATTGATTTTAGGATATTGTTTTATAAAGCAGAAAGATTTGACAAATACAGTATAAACTATGGAAACTTGTAAACTTTCTCAAAAGTTATATCATTATAATTTTTTTTTTTCTTTTTACTTATTTAAACTTTTAAATATTTATTCTAATCACTAAAACTTCAATAGAAAATTATTTAAAACTTTATTGGAGATTGAAAGATGGGTTGAGATAAGTGTTAAACGAACTGAGTTTGAGTGGATATGCAGAGATTGATCACCGCAAGTATTTGATGAACTTGAATATAGTTGAACGGTTAAAGTTATTTATCATTTTGAACACAAATATTCAAAACAACGCTCTACCGTTTTGAAAAAACACATGAGACGAGGAATATTTTTGAATATTCACAATTCAAAAATACGACAACCATAACATTGAAATGCTAAGTTTTAAAAGAATTGCAATGTTCTAATCTAACCACAAAAAGAACAATGACCGAGTCACTATATCTCGAATCCATATCATTTAGCTATCGTGCAAGATCTATCAATCTTAATACTACAGATAAAGTACATGTTTTCTGGCCTCGAGCGGATGTTTCATATCAAATCAACGCAATATTATAGAATGACCGAGACTATATACCCTTAAG